CCCAACAGAAGAACAAAATTCTACAAGCAGTTAGAGAAAAGAAACAAATCACATACAAAGGAAAGCCCATCAGAATCACAGCAGACTTCTCAACATAAACCCTCAAGTCAAGAGGAGCCTGGAGTGAAGTATTTCAAGCCCTAAAGGAAAACAAACTCCAACCCAGATTGATGTACCCTGTAAAACTATCTTTCAAAATCAATGGAGAAATAAGATACTTCCATGACAAAGAACACCAGAGGAATTTCATGAATTTCAAACCAACACTCCAAAAAATTTTAAACAATATCCTAGGAAAGACAATTAGGGTCAAAACCCCACAAAGCCCAACAGAATGAATCCATCAGGCAGGACAAGAAATTAAATGCAGGGAGGGGGTAATCCAATAACAGGAAAAATCATGACAAAGAGAAGTCAGTACATATCAGTTATAACCATCAATGTTAATGGTCTCAATTCACCAATCAAAAGAAATAGACTGGCAGAATGGGGCAAGAAGCAAGGTCCAACAATATGCTGCATACAAGAAACACACTTAATTCAAAAAGAAATTCATAGACTGAAAGTTAAAGGGTGGAAAATAATACTCCACGAAATAGGAAACTGAAAAAAAGCAGAAGTATCTATCCTATTTGCAGACAAAATGAATTTAAAATCAATTAATTAATTAAGACAAAGAAGGTCACTACATCCTCATAAAGGGAATGATCCAAGAGGAAGAGGTGACAATCATAAATATATATGCACCAAATACTAGTGCACCCAATTACATAAAACAAATATTAACAGACATAAAAAATCAAATAAGCACTAATACAATAGTAGTGTGAGACCTTAATATGCTAATTATCACAAATAGACACATCAACTAGACAAAAAAATCAACAATGAAATACTAGAACCCAACCAAACTCTTGAACAAATGGACTTAACAGATGTTTAGAGAGTGTCCCACCCGACAAAATCAGAATACACATTCTTTTCAGCTGCACATGGGTCGTTCTCCAAAATAGCCAACATACTTGGTCATAGAACATGTTTAAGTAAATGCAAAGCAATTGAAGTTATCCCCTGTATATTGTCAGATCATAGTGTGATGAAATTGGAGATCAATACCAAAGGAAACCACAAGAACTCCATAAACACATGGAAATTGAACAATACTCTCCTGAGCAAACAATGGGTCACAGAGGAAATTAAAGAATTGGACAATTTCTACAATTAAATGACAATGCCAGTACAACATATCAGAATTTATAGGACACAATGAAAGCAGTCTTAAAAGAGATATTCATAGCAGTGAATACCCATATTAGGAAAACAGACCGAGCTCAAATAAACAACATAATGCTGAATCTCAAGCTTCTAGAAAAATAAGAGAAAGAAAAACCCAAAGCTCATACAAGGGAGGAAATTATAAAGATTAGAGCAGAAATCAAAGCAATGGAGACTAAGAGAAAAATACAAAAATCGTTGAAACAAAGAGTTAGATCTTTGAAAGAATAAATAAAGTTGAGAAACTCTTAGCCAACATTATAAAAAAAAGAAAAGACCCAAATCTAGCAATTAGGAATGAAAAGGGTGAAATTTCAACAGACCCAGCAGAAATCCAGAGGCTCATCAATACCTACTTTCAGAACCTATATGGCAATAAGATGGAAAACATGGAAGAAATACACAGATTTCAAGATACATATGAATTACCAAAGTTGAATTAAGATGACCTAAAAATTCAAAACATCCCAATATCAATCAATGAAATTGAAAATGAAATAAAAAACTTACCAAGAAAGAAAAGCTAGGGCCCAGTGGCTTCACTGAACAATTCTACAAAACATATAGAGAAGAACTATTGCTAATACTGTTTAAACTCTTCAGTGAAATTGAAAGGGAAGCAATACTCCCAAATTCATTCCTGGAAGCAAGCATCAACTTGATCCCAAAAGAAGAAAGAGACCCAACCAACAAAGAGAACTATAGGCCAATATCTCTACTGATCATAGACATGAAAATCCTCAAGAAGATACTGGCAAACAGAATGCAGAAGATCATCAAGAAGATCATATACCCTGACCAAGTGGGATTTATCCCAGGGCTGCAGGGATGATTCAACATATGCAAATCAATAAATGTAATACACTATATTAACAGAGCTAAGGACAAAAATAATGTGATCATTTCAATAGATGCAGAAAAAGCATTTGACAAAAATCCAACACATATTCATGATAAAACACCACAGAAAATTGGGATAGATGGTCTCTATCTCAACCTGATAAAAACCATCAATGAAAAAACCAAAACCAACATCATACTAAATGGTCACAAACTGAAATCCTCCACACTAAAACCAGGAACAAGACAAGGATGTCCACTATCACCACTCCTATTCAATATAGTTTTGGAAACATTATCCACAGCAATTAGACAAGTGAAAGAAACAGAAGGGATAAAGATAGGAAACAAAGAAACTAAACTGTCATTATTTGCAAATGACATGATACTGTATATAGAAGACTCACAAACTCCACCAAAAGTCTTCTAGACATAATAACCAAAATCACTAGAGTAGCTGGATCCAAGGTCAATGCACAAAAATCAATAGGCTTCCTGTACGCAACAAACTCATTGAGAGAGAAATAGGTCAAACAATTCCTTTCACAATAGTATCCAAAAAAATGAAATACCTAGGAAACAATCTAATGAAAGAAATAAAGGACCTCTACTCTGAAAACTACAGTACTCTGAAAAAAGAGATCTAAGCAGATATCAAAAAATGGAAAAACATCCCTTGCTCCTGGCTAAGAAGAACCAATATAGTGAAAATGGCCATACTTCCAAAAAAACTGCTACACAGATTCAATGCAATCCCAATTGAAATTCCAACAGCATATTTCATAGAACTTGATAAAACAATCCAAAAATTCATTTAGAACCAGAAGAGACCTAGAATAGCAAAAGCAATTCTAGGTGACAGAGACATGGCAGGGGGTATCACAATCCCCAAGTTGAAACTATACTATGAAGCTACTGTAATGAAAACAGCATGGTACTGGCAAAGAAACAGACCTGAGGATCAATGGAATAGATTACAAGATTCAGAAAGAACTTCAGACACACTCAGCCACCTCGTCTTTGAGAAAGGAGCCAAAGACCCTTGCTGGAGGAAAGATAGCCTCTTTAATAAAATCATGCTGGAAAAATTGGGTTTCAACTTGCCAAAGACTAAAACTAGACCCATATCTCTCACTATGCACTAAACTAAAATCAAAATGGTTCAAAGATTTAAATATTAAAACAGAAACACAACAGGCTGGAAAAGATGTTAGGTAAAACTCTTGTAGACATTGGCGGAGGAAAATATTTTATCAATGAAACCTCATTCACATGTAAACTAGCACAAAGAATCAAAAACTAGGATCTCATCTTATTAAAAAGCTTCTTCACTGCAAGAGAAACCACCAGCAGAGTGAAGAGACAAAACCAAAATGTGGGAAAAAGATTTATCAGCTGTTCCTCAGACAAAGGTCTACTATATAGAATATATAAAGAACTTAAAAAATCAGACCCCCCAAATATAAAGACCCAATCCAAAAATGGGCATCTGAAATGAACAGACATTTCTCAGACAAAGAAGTAGAAACA